TAAAAGTTTCGAAACTCGTTAGTCCCAAAACGTATTCATCATTAGTATGGAGATATATGGGTGGATTAAAATCTGCGGTTAAGACAGATTTTGTATTCGTGAACGAAAATGTGTACGACATGTTGATGTTTTTCTTTGCGACTAAGTCACAACGCTATGTGTTCTTGTATAAAAATTCTAACACTAAATGCCCGCAATTATAGGTATTGAGTGCTTGTAATTGATCATAATTGTATTCAATTGTATTTCTGCTACCACCTCCGCGAAAGTAATGAACCAGTTCTAGTGGAGGTTTAACGTGACCTATACTGTCAAAATACACTACACGACTTCCTCGTTTAATATATGCCGTCCAATGGGTGCCCTCATTTATTTTGTCATCCAAATTGATGATACCACATTCCGTTTTATTTATCCGATTTGGTAAACCATTGCGCATGAAGATACCTCTAAAGTGTGGTATTTTTAGAAGTTTGATGTATTTACTGAGGTCGACGTCGGTTAATGCTCGATGTGGTAGCTTCACTGGGAGTTTTTTTGATACGGGTTTAAATATAGACCTAACCCTTTTTTGTACGGTTTTAAGTAAAGACCTTTTCCAATAGCCGCGGCTTCCATAGCTTGATTGTGACGTTTTTTTTCTTCCAGCGTCTTCTTAGCATCATTTGCAGAGTTTACTGCTTTTGCTATGGCTGCTGCTCCACCACCTAGTGAACCAAGAGCGCCCAAAGCCGCAAATAATGGTATAAGAGGTAAAAAACCCCCTGTTTTAGGCAATGGTAAAATTCTTTGCTTTGGAGGATGTACGCTTCTTTTCTTCAGCGCTCCCAGAGCTCGTCGAGCCGTTGCCTCTAAGTTGGAATGTATTTTACCGCCTATACGTTTTCTAGCCAACTTGACTGCGTTATTGAAGGTAATAGGAGAGTTTCGTTTCACTCGTGATTTTGTACCCATTCCGAATGTTCTTTTTCCTTTCATAGCACCAGCTACTGTAAGGGCGGCCGCCTTCTCACCGAAACTAGCGTCAGAGGAGCGAAATCTATTCCAAGCTTTCTCTTGTAGTATCTTATCCGCCTTATGTCGATGGCTTAGTTCTTTAGATTGTGAATATGCAATATCGTGTTCTTTACAAGCTTCGTCTAAAGGATTTATTCCAGGGTCACCGCGAGCCAAGCGTTTTTTTAAACGAGTTCCAGGGCCGCAGTAGTTATATCCAGGCAGATGTAATTCGACTGGCAATTTATTTATAATTGTATTTAGAAACCCTCTCCCTTTTCGGCTGAATTTACGATTCTTTCGAGTATAAATTTTCATAGAGATGCTGTATACGTGTTGATTCTTAAAAGACTCTTTTTACTATAAACTTATTATCCGAACGACGCGTACTTATATACCTACCGTATTTATATGCTGCGGTCTACAATACCGATTTGTCAGTTCTAACATGACTACCATTAGATTTACTCCTCAAGAAGTGCAATTACCTGTTAAAAATTATGATTCATTTTCTTCCGCTAAACAACATTCTAAACATAGTGATCTATTTAAAGGCGGATGTAGACGAGGTGTGATCGTGGGACCTTCTGGATCTGGGAAGACCAATGTTATGATAGCGTTATTAGAGCACCCTAATGGTTTACGCTTTGAAAACGTGTATGTGTACAGTAAATCTTTGTATCAACCTAAATATGACTACCTTCGTCAATTATTGTCATTTATAAAGGGTATTGGATATTATGAATACGATGATAGTGTCGATGTTATACCCCCTAATCAGACGCGGAAGAATTCTGTTATGATATTCGATGACGTAGCATGCCACAAACAAGATGAAATACGTGAACATTTCTGTTTCGGTAGGCATCAAAATAATGATTGTTTTTATCTGTGCCAGACATACTCTTCTATACCGAAGCAACTTATACGTGATAACGCGAACTTAATTATATTATTTCAACAAGACTATACCAATTTAAAACATGTATTTGATGACCACGTAAATGTTGATATGTCTTTTCATCGTTTTAAGGAAATCTGCTCTCATTGTTGGAGACAAAAGTACGGGTTTCTAGTAATAGATAAGGGGAGTGATAATAATTGTGGACGTTATAGAATGGGATTCGATTGCTACATATCATTATAAATACAATCGTCGTAACTAACTTGCTGTAGTCAAAATGGAAAGACGTTTAGTTGAGGACCTCTTAATAGCCCGAAAATCTGTAAAGCGAAAATATGACAGTTTACGAAAAGACATCGCTTCTACAGAACGAGAGGTGGAGCGACATTTTAAACCGATTACGCAACCCTTACGACAACTATTAACGACTGCAAATGGCGAACCCGTGAAAACTGAACCTTCATCAAGCATTAAACGTCATTCACCGATTTTTGCCCAACACACTTCGCAACAAAAGACCTCCACTCCTCAAAAAGTGGCCAGAAACCTCTTTTCTGTAAATGAGCCGAGTATCTTGAATGAGCCGAGCATTTTAGAAGAAAGTGAATATGGAGATTCTACTCCAGAGGGAAATTATGCGCCAACATTAGATCAATTACGTGAAGAACTGTCTCACGTAGGAAACAATCCGGCATTTGAAGAGTTTCTTGATCAGTACCAAGGTTTACCAAAAATATATGTTGAAGGTATATTCAGAGACACTAGTAATGAATATGATCATAAGTATGGAGTTCGCTATGATCCCGCTTTAAATAAATTTAATGTGGGCGATTCAGAATTGGACTTTGACAAAGAAGATATTGTTATCACATCTTCTACAGGAGATCGATTTCAGTATAAGGGAACGCCGGGTTTGTTCGAATTACTCTTCAAAAGAGCACCAATTGGATTCAAAACAGCGGACTCAAAGGCATATCGCGATATTATTGTACGTACTAATGCAGCACGTCGGAATTACAACGCCTCAGACCAAATTCAAGGAACCGGTAAATCAATAAAGTACGTGAACATTATTAAGCCACTTCTACAAGAACCGCATTATTCAAGCGGTTTTTCATCATCTCAGTTAGACCCACCGCGGAGACTGCGTACCCTGTCCCGTCGTAGTAAACGAGGAGGTTCACTAGCGACACTGCGCCTTAATAACAAAAAAATCGAATTCATTCCTTGGAATGATCCTAACAAATTAGTGGACTGGTTAAGGGTGTTATTAGGATCCAAGTCTGCTGGAAATACTGCGAATAACAACGAAATCGTATATATAACTGAAGAACTGCGTAGTTCTGGAATAATCGAGTAAAATAAATTTGTTCAACCTTTTACTTATTCGATCATTGCAACAATGACTATTGACAAATTCGGACGTCACATTCACGCTCATAAGGTGTGCGATGATCCCTCACGTTATACTTATGAACACTATTTTCATGTGATTGGATTAGCGAGTGAAAACAAGTTGGACATTAACATTCTCAATCCGGAAGATGATGGCACGTGTAGATTTCGCCTCACCGAAGGTACCATCATAGAATGCGTTTGGGGTCCGCGCCGCAGTAAAGTAACTATTAACGGAAAAGAGTATGCAGATCCATTACTCCTAAACGGTTTAACATTACGCAAAGGCGATCGTATAAGTGCAGTTTGCCCTAATGCCGAAGAAGGGGTAATATTTTGTTTAACAGCCGTATTGCAATCTACGCTTAAGAAATGAGCAAAGTTCAACTAGTAGAAGAATTACATAAACCGGCAAGAAAGAACTTTCCAAGACGACGTGTAATCATAAAAGGATTAAATGACTTATTTCAAGCCGATTTAGTAGAAATGATACCTTATGCGCGAACAAATAAAGGATTCCGTTACATTTTGGTTATTATAAACGCATTCTCTAAATTTGTTTGGGCTTTTCCCATAAAACGAAAAAATGGCAAAATGGTAGCTGATACCATGAAGAAGCTTTTATTACAACTAGTAACCCCTCCAACAAATCTACAAACAGATATGGGGAAGGAATTCTATAATAAGGACTTTAGCGAAGTTATGAAAAAATTCAAAGTTAATCATTTTAGTTCTTTTTCGAACTTAAAAAGCAGTATTGTAGAACGTGTAAATCGGACCCTTAAAGGGATGATGTGGAAGGAATTTAGTCTACAAGGATCGTATAAATGGTTAGGGCTTTTACCACGAATAGTTGACAAGTATAATGCAACTATACATAAAACTACCGGTTATAAACCTATCGAAGTTAATGAGAAAAATGCTTCACATATTTTAAAGAAATCTTTTAGTCGTATGAAAGTGGTTGATCCTAAACCACCTAAATATAAAGTGGGGGATTTTGTGAGAATAAATAAATACAGGACGGTTTTTACGAAAGGATACACTCCAAATTGGACTTACGAAGTGTTTACAGTGGTTAAAGTGAAAGTTTCAAATCCAACTACGTACATTCTAGAAGACAGTCGAAAACAGGAAATAAAAGGTCGATTCTACGAACAAGAGTTGCAAGCTGCAAAATTTCCCGACATTCACTTAGTCGAGCGTGTTATACGACGAAAAGGACAGAAATCATTTGTGAAGTGGTTAGGTTTCGATAGCTCCCACAACTCCTGGATATCAAATAAAGATTTGGTATAGAAATGTGTTTAGACGACGGTGTACCTGATTACACTATCTTTGAAAATCGCTTATTATCATTTCTAAGATGGCGTGGACCTCATACATCACCGAAATCGCTTGCACGTGCAGGTTTTATTTATAAGAATATAGGTGATACAGTGGAATGCTTTTACTGCAAGGTACGCATTAATCACTGGTTGGCGACGGATGTTCCCATAGCAGAACATCTTCGATGGTCGCCAAGATGTCACTTCGCAAGACTACTTAATGCTTCAGGAGCTCTTCGCATGATAAATCAGACTTGTGTTCCGTTCGTAGATCAAGTTCGCGACAGACTACACGTGGGAGATGGAGATTATAATAAAACATAATAAAAGATGTACATTTTTGTATTATTATTGTAACAATAATTGATTACATTGTATAACATTTTTTTTCTAAATATATATATTGTAAATATTATAATTTTTATTGGAAGGAGTTAATCAAATCGTTCAAGCTTTTAATTGATTTAATATCACGATGACCCCATGCCAATGTTTTAACGGTGCCAGGGATAACGTATCGCTTATCATCTGTGGATGATAGCGCTATCTTATTTCTCATTTCTGTGTACATAGTGTGTAAATGAGATCGAAAACCACTCATTTTTTTAATAATAACCCCACCTTCCTCGACTACTTTTTTATAGTCATCCTCTTTCAAACAGTTCTTTATTACGTATTTTTTGACACCTTTAGCTTTTTTATCAACATGGTCACCTACATTTACACAGTATGACTTTGCACCTGCACCGTAAAAACTAGAGATGGGAACACCGGAATATTCATCTCTCATTTTACCTACAACTGAGATGTTACGGGGGACACCATGTAGATTGTTAACCGGAAATTTTGACGTATCAAATCTATCCAAATGTGATATCATATCTTCATAAAAGTTATCTGTAAAAATCTCTAACACGAGGGAATCGGTATCTGTATACAATAAAGTTACCTTCTCACGATACATTGGCTTTAAGAAATCGTAAAAAAACTCATACATAACGGTTTTCGATAAATCTAAAATAGAAAAACCAACGTACACTGGTTTATCATAAGTCACTGAAACTTTCGACATTTGAACTGCAACTAAGTTTTCCGAAAATACTGAAAGATTTTTAAAATTCGGTTTTGATATATGTCCTTCTGCTCCAAGTTTCCTACCGATCCTTTCCCAATGACTTACAAGCTTAATATCAACTCGCTTATCCACGTTCTCCATTGTTTTCCCAAAAATACTGTTAGTCATAGTCTTTACGGTATTGCGACCGGACTCTGAGGTTTCACGGTTACGAAGTTCGGTATTTAAATCAATATAGGTTCTTAGCCAAGGTGATTGTGTAAATTTAATCCCCCTGTGAATTTTCTGCAAAACTAACCCGTGTTGTAAACATTGCTTTAGAGACCTATAATGAATGACGTATTTTTCTTTGCGATTTAAATTTGGAATAAGTTTTGGATACTTCGAAGTAGAATTTGGAGGGGTCATTGATTCTGGACAAAAAGGCATATCGTTATGCGTTTCATGTAATTGTTCAGGATACTCCAAATCGACTTCTAAAACGTAACCCGTATCTGATTCGTCTAATATTTTGGAAACCTCAAAACTAAGACCAGGAGCGGTAAAATATTGCGCTGGATCGAGTTGGTAATTATGGAGACACACGCGTCTATAATTTTCAAAGATATCAGCCAACAAAAGCACATCAGATTTTAAATAAATGTCTGAGTACTCGCCTAACGTTTGACATTGAAATAGATTCCAAACATCCTGAGCACGAGAATATTCATCCTCCGTAATATGTTGCTCATGTAGCTTATCAAAAAAATCGGCTTTATTGGGAAGTTGAGTTTGATCGAGTTTATCAAATGCATCTACAAATGAGTATGGAAACACCCCTTTTTGCCTAATTAACTCAAATGCGCGTCCAGTTCCAAAGAATGTTTTTATTTCATTACATTCACTGTCACTTAAATTTTTGGAAAGCACGTTTAATGAACTACCTAAAAAACGAAAACTATCTACAAAACGAATTCGCCAAATCACATTTTTGGGAACCCCATTCTCCACAATTTGATCAACTGAAATATGCTTAGTAAAGGAAACATATTTTTCTTTATTAGTAGCAATGACGTCTGTGTTTTCATTCTCTAAAGCCAAGCATTTAACAAACATATGAGCATCATATCCAGTTAAATTATGAAAGAATACGGGGACAAAATTTGGATTTTGGAGCTGTAAATTGCAAGTAGAGTGCGAAATGCCTCTCATAACTCCTGACCAATGGCAATGGTCTAATACTCTTACATCCCCATCAAGAAAAGTCTTTTCGCAAATCCAACAAATGGTTGCACTATCATATTTTCGCTGTTCTTCTATTGTTAGTTTTGGTAAAGGTTTAGCGTGTTTAAAATGTTGATTGTATAAGGTTCTAATATCACTTTCTATCATATTTACAAATTGCAATGCAGCATCCGGACCGCGATACGTTTGAAATTTTGAATAGCTATCATCAAACGAACACTTAATATAATACGCAAAAGAATACGGATTGTGTTCGAAAGTATTGGTGGTAAATTGAAGCAGAGGGTTTGGTTCAGGACCGTGAATCGATTTAAGCAAGCATTCAAAATCTGCATATACGACAAATGGAAGTTTCAGTCGTTTTTGGTAGTTATCGAATTTTAATTGATTTTGAAATGACGATTCACCCCATTTTGTTACTATAGGCTCAGTTGTGGGTAAAAATGTACGAACATAGTTGCAATCAAATATTGAATGACGCCAAAGCTTTTCTTCAGTTGCAAAATATACGAGACATCCGTCGCAAAGATAAATTGCCTCTTTGTGCTTAGACACTTGCATGGAAATCAATCTCGACATATCCTGAATCCAACAATAATGGCTATTACCATCTACACTAGTCAAATATAGAAGATTTACATGCAACGTCTTTTTCTGTTTAGTATAATGCAAAGGACCCACTATTTTGTAAACAACTTTACCATCCTTCTGCGTATCTTCCTCCAATCCATACACGTTAATTGACAAGGGATTATTCTCTTCAAATTTCGCTATTGCATCCAATTTTACGGGAAATGTGATTCCATCAAAATTGAACAGTTCTGAATAATGTCGATAAGACTCGGGTTGACATGGAGGTCCAGTTGGAGTATCGATAGCTGACATCAACGCCCAACCAAAACACGCGAAGTCGTTGTTTCTAACATTGATTGTAGCCCTTTTGCGAGAAATAAACGAAGGGGTCGGTATAAAGGATGACGCTCGTAACGGATTGTACCTATTGATGTTAAGTTCTATGTACAACCATTGTTGCAGAGCCCATCCTGAAAGTAATAATAGGTATGTAGTTATTACACGAACAATATATATATATGTATTATACCCGAGCTCTCTCTTGAAATTCTGAGGCGTCTGCTTCAAATTTTGAAATGACGTCGTTAAACCATTCACTTAAATCGGAGCTCACCGTCAGTATTTGGTTTCGAGTATTAAAAGACTTAACGTCACCTCGTTCCTTTGCTTCCAAAATAAAATGACCAAATAACTCGCAGTTCACCTTCAAGCTGCCCATTATACCAATTTGTTCACGTACCAATTTTTGTATTACATCAGTCAAAGATCTGGTAAATTCTTTCAGAACAATAAATTGCTTGTTCGGGGTTATCCTGTAGCTTATTATGCGAGATTTGAAGGCCGACTTAACTACATCAACACCTTCAGTAGAAAATACAAGGGAATTATTTTTGTGTTTGGTAGTACGTAAATGTCCCACATAGTCCCGGGTCGAAATATGCTCAAAACACGTATCACAATACCGCTGCCCCCCATGGGTAATCTTTACCTTTTTTTTCAGAGCCGGTTCTTGAACTACGATTAAAAAAAAGAAAGTAATTATTGTGTTTGTAACAAAAATTTCTTACCAGCACATGACGTTTTGAGATGGCGTAGGACACTACTTCTTAAAGTGAAAGATTTATTACACTTAGGACAGTTGAACATTTTTATTGGCAGCTCCTATAACAAGTGCAAATGTACAAGAAAAGTTAATTTCGTAAAAAAGATTCTTACTGTAAAAAAGGGTCAGAAAACTGTTGAATATCTGCTAATAACTTCATCCTCGTTTGAATAAGTTGCTCGGTTTGACACTCGCACCACTTAAGATCGCAGTAATTGTACTGTCGCTTAATAAACAGAATCTTAAAAAAACGAGAAAGTTTTTGTTCTACTTCTATCAATTGACGTTTCAGATTTCCAAGATCTCCAAACACTTCTTCAAGGAGCGATACATCAAAATCTGGGCAATATAGATTGTTACCAATTAAATCGTTCTCAATTTCTTGCGATACAGGCACACATTCTTTTGCCGGAACCACTACTATATTTTGTAATATATTAATAGATTTATCGTTACGCAAAGGATCACTCATGCTTACGTCAACTTAAAGAAGTCTTCCTTGCACTATTTGAATGGTTTCTCCAACTTTACTTCTCCTTATATATTGCTTCTAATGATATTCACCCTCCCCACTCTCTCTTAGTTGCATATAAATACAGATTTATCTCATATAGAAGGTATTAATAACGACTGAAATGGAAAATCATGGTGAGTAAAATTAAAACATTTAGTGCACAAATCATTACGTATTGACTTTTTGTTACCAGACATTGAAATATGGGATGTAACTCCGGCGGAGATTTGGGTAGATAGGCCCAGTAGCAATTCAACGCCCAGGACGGTCATTACCAAGGAGCAAGGAATACCGCTATTAGCGGTCACAGTGCCCCAAAATGGCCCACCCATAATCACAGCGTTGGGGGCTGTTACCTTCGCGTTGCGGGAAGTAGGCAACACGGTCGAAATATTTATAATTAATAAATATAATTAAAGATTTTCAAATTTGTATTATTCGATGCCTTAAAAACAGCTGGAGATGTCCATATTCACAACTGATGCAGTAATTATTTTTTACTTGCCTTGCAAGTTTACTGTAACATATTCAGGTACATAGGTGCACATACTAAGCAGAATTATATAGCTGTACTGTTATACATTAGCAACTGTGAGACCTAGAAATCTGCCAATAGATTGTGAGTTATACGACAATATATTTAGTTTTGTTATACAACTAACGTCTATGAATGCAAAATTTAACCAGGTGCTTCTTACACAAGTGCAAATATTTGCTACAATGTATAAATTGTCAATGTTGTAAACCAAACTTTTTAAAACGAATTTTATTGCATTTCATAAAAAACCAAAATCCATTCTTTTTACAAAAAAAAATTACATGATATGCAAAATTGTTCATTGTACGTATTAATATTTAATTTTGAAAACAAAGACTTAATTTATAACGTATACGCCTGTCAGACTTAACTAACTATTTTGGCTACATTTTAAATCGCATGCATAATAACCGGTGCGCTTGCATTCATTAAAAATTATATCTGATACCCCTTGCGATTTTAGAGGTCAATCGGCAGCGCTCTTGCAGCTACACTAGTTTAAAAACACATACCTATGAAATACCCACAAGGGTTTCATGTAACACCTATACCTACCTATCAACCCATACTTGGAGCAATCTCAGCTATTCAGCTTTGTTATAAAACTAACATCTATGAATGCAACATTTAACCAGGTGCTTCTTTAAGATATGCAAATATTTGCTACAATGTATAACTTGTCAATACTGTAAACAAAACCTTTTTCAAACGAATTTTATTGCATTTCACAGATAATAATAATAAAAGATTTTTGAATAATGACATACCAATTTATTCATTATTTATATGTATTTATTCAAAAAACTACATTTATGAATGTCAATTAATTAGGTATCTCCTTGGATATGCAAATTGTTCATCCTATGCATATATTAATGTTTAATTTTGAAAACCAAGTAGTTTTCAAAGTAATTTATAACGTCTACGAATGCTAAATTTAATTAACTACTTCGGCTACATTGTTTAAGTCAAAATTATATCTGGTACCCTGTGCGATTTTGCAGGTCAGCAGACAGCGCTCTTACAGCCCCATCAATAGCTCGTTGTAACCCCATACGATTTAGAGGTCAGCAGACAGCGCTCTTGCAGCCCCATCAATAGCTGGTTGTAACCCCATACGCATTTTGGAGGTTAGCAGACAGCGCTCTTGCAACCCCATCAATAGCTGGTTGTAACCCCATACGCATTTGGAGGTTAGCAGACGAGGTCATGACCTAGACGGGTCATGACCTGCGCTCTTGCACCCCCATTCTTTCCCTACTGGTGGATATGTTTGTGAGCAAAAGCAATATGTATGCAGCTAAACGCAATAAAACTGTGAATATCACTGAAGGTAAAATGAGATCATTTTTTGGTATACTTCTTCTAAGTGGTTATGTTCCTTTGCCAAGACGACGATTAATAAATTTGAAAAAATTAAAGTGGGATATTGAACTGCTTCAATGCCAACGACGAGTAAAGAAGTTAAATTTAAAATGAGTTATGTGCCGGAGGAAATTTCGATTATGGAGTTCTCGGGCTGGAAGACCTTCTGTATAGAATTTTTCCATAGAGACTAAGAAGCTATAATTGAATAAGTTTTGCAAATAATTACTCGCTAAACAAAAATTTGTTACAATTTTTGTAAAGATGCATCCAATAAACTTTGTTTGAATGCACCTAATTTACTTATACTAGTTCAAATCCAATAACTAAAACCGCCTACAAAGTGAATACTAAAAAGATTAAGTAGTTTTATCAACCTTAATTTAGTTTTTTTATTTATTTTAGTTCCCGAACACGAAGGAGTGGCGTACGATAGCAATAGGCTTTAAAAAAAATTGGACTTTCCTAACTGTGGGGGAGCGTTAGACGGAAAGCATATTCGGATACAACCTCCACGGAAGTCTGGAGCACTCTACTACAATTATAAAGGATTCAACAGTATCGTTCTCATGGCACTCGTTGATTCTAACTATGAATTCGTATTTGTTGATGTTGGTAAAACCGGAAGGTGGTCCAACGGCGGTGTGGTAGAACAGACAGATTTTCACAGAAAGTTGGTATCAAAGTTACACCTTCCGAGTAACGACGAAACTGTGAAAAATTTAAACTATGTGTTTCTCGGTGACGAAGTTTTTGCATTAGGCGTAAATTTTTTGAATCCATACGCACAAAAATAAGTTGATTACAGCAAGCGGGTATTTAATTATAGGTTATCGCGTGCTCGTAACGTTGTAGAAAATGCTTTTGGGATTATTACCAGTCGTTTTGGAGTGCTGCAAAAGAGTATTAACATGCAACACGAAAATATTTGCTATTTTGTGTTGGCTATATGTGTTTTGCATAATTTTCTCCGTCGTAGAAGTAGCACGCCTACAATGGTTGACCAACAAGATACTACGCATGGCATTGTGCAAGCTGGAGAGTGGCGTAACACTTTGCAACTAGAAGGATTACAGCAAATCACTCCAAGAAATATTCCCTTAGCACCCAAGGAAAACCGCGATAAATACAAAGCCTATTTTAACGCGTTAGATGGAGCAGTAGAGTTTCAAGACCGCATGATTCGTGTAGGATGTGAGTAGAAGACCTATGTTCGTTCTGGACCAGGAAGTGACGTCACACCAATCAGAGACGAGCACGTGACGTCACAGCCAATCAGAGACGAGCACGCCCCCCTATGCCCCTCCCCTCGACCAATGGGATACGGTAGGCGGAGCCTTTAGGGGCCGCCCCCTGTGGCGTCACAGCCAATGAGCGGTGTGGTCGGCCATTTTGGATCGAGCGCCATTTTATTAGTCACCAAATCCGCCATCTTGGATTGGTCGCCATTTTGTTAGTTTCTATTTCCGCCATCTTGGATCGGTCGCCATTTTATTAGTCACCAAATCCGCCATCTTGAATCGATCGCCATTTTATTACTTTCTAATTCCGCCATCTTGGATCGGTAGCCATTTTATTAGTCTCTAATCCCGCCATTTTGTTGGGCGCCATTTTATTAGTCACTAAATCCTCCATCTTGGATCGGCCGCCATTTTATTAGTCTCTAATCCCGCCATATTGTTGGGCGCCATTTTTGACCGTCTGTCTGTCTGCCTCTCTCGCTCCATCCGCCATCTTGGATGTTATTTTGGACTCGCGTCATCGGTCACGTGATTGCTATAGACAAAAATTTTTGTTATCTGCGTTGGGAATCGAACCCACGATACCTGAAATAGAAAGCTAGCGCGTAACCAAATGAGCCACGCAGACTTTGAGAGATTCTATAGTTAGAGGTTGAAGTCAATGAAAAAACAGGTGCCGTGACATGGCCCCAACTTATAATTCTCCGAGACATGTAAGGGGGGCCCTATTACCAATGTCATGCTCCATTCTAACCTGTAAATACATTTCGTGGCCCCCAGGCCTATAATGAGGCGATGGTTGCTCGCTCTCGGGGTGAGTCGTAAGGATGAATGGTAGGAAACTGTAACGCATTTATTCACATTTCAACCTTATTGCAGGTAGGTAATCATAAGGATGAAGGGCAGGAAACTGTAACGCATTTATTCATATTTAAACTTTACTACATGCCTTATGGGTAGGTAATTTTTATGTAACTACAATTTGTACATTAGTCGTTACACCTGCAGCTCCCATACTAGTTATAAATATAACTTTATTTGCTAGGGTTGTTTGGAAGCACTCTAGTCGATTTTCTGCTTCGAAGTATGTATGGTAACGTTGGGGCAGTATGCACTTGAAGGTTTCGGTTTCAACCACAATTCGATCTCCAAACTTGGTACCAATCACGCCGATATCAACAATTCGGTATTTTTCACCAATTTCCATATCCTTTACATTTTTGAATGGCTTACAATAGGTCGACGAGTTCAGGGAAGCGAAATCAAATTCTTCCATTATTATTGTATATCTATAAGAAAAACAAAAGTGTAGAAATCAATTACGTAGTCGATACTTTTAGTCATAGAAATTTAAGATAAAATCTTACTTGCCGATTACCGATTCGGTCCGAAACACTGATCGCGGCATATGTCAATAGCACTCAATTTTTATTATAAATTTATGCTGCTACACTGCGGGAAGCAATTTCCCCTATCTTTTCGCAAAGTAAGCAAGTTTATTTTGTGTCAACTGCGCTAGATTTTTATTACAAATTTATGCTTACAATGCGAGAAACCAATTTCATGTGTCTTTTCGCAAAGCAAGCAAATTATTTGCCATACAATTTCCTGTCTCGTATCGCAAGGAAAGCTAATATGGTTTATGTGAAATTTTTAAAGGGGGGGCCTCATTACCTATACAAAAACATTAATCTAATCTAACATGTCAATCTTTATGACCGCTAAGAATTAGTATGTGTTTGTTTATGCAACTTTAAATTAATTCTAGAACTCTTGTTCTGTCTGCCTAAGTACCGAAGATTCTCTCGTGGAAGATCAAGATGGTTGAATTTTAGGAAGAATTGTAAATATTTATTATCGCTAGTGAGATCCTTGAAATGATGCTCCCAATCGTATGCGGGAGTGGATAGCAAAAAACAAAACAAAACAAAGAATTAGATATTTATTTATATCTGAAAGAATAACGAAACGTAACATTACTAGAGCATTTAGCTACTAACATAGATAATCCAAGAAGCACGATCTAATTCCAGATCCATAAAAACGACGAACC